AAAAAAAAAAAAAAAAAAAAAAAAAAAAAAAAAAAAAAAAAAAAAAAAAAAAAAGTACAGATAAGAGTTGTGTATACCTCTCAATCTGTCCTCGTAGACGCTGTAGGTGAGATTCTTGAACTCGATGTCAACGGGCGGCCGCCTCGGCAGGTGAGTGAGCGACACGACCGGCTTTTTGTTCCCCTGGCCGTGGACACCCGGCCCGTTCGGCATCATTTTCCGGCTCGGTAGGCTCGCGCCGCCGCAACCGTTGTTCTTACAGCTGGCAACGCTGCAGCCGCAATTATTACTCCCCGGCTCCCTGCGGACAATCATCAGAGATATATACATATATCTCGAGGCCTCCTCATCCCCTCGGAAGACTCGCGTTTCTATCCTTCCCATCCTCGTACAATGGTTATAGCTTTTCAAGCAGAGGGTGTTTTCTTTCTTCTTCTTTTACTATAGCGTTCGTACGCAATCGAGTGGCATTGAAAAAAAATTGATAAACGAGTATGTATATATATATACCAGCGATAAGGGTGCACATATGTAAATCGTCCTCCACGTAGCTTCCGTAAATGAATTCCCTCCCGCGCGGGCCGGCCAATCGATAAGAGACTACTTAGAGAGAGACACGTAAGACGCGACGCGTCGTGTGTAAGCATACCGATATATGTACATATATGTATACCTATACTTATCGTGCAAATAAGCGTGGCGATTCGGAAACCCGCTCGGGAGACGATATGGATATACGGGCCGATGGATTCTGTGCGATCGTATATTTTTAGCTCGGATAATTAATTCCGCGCGTTTAGCATGGAAATCGCCCTTACGACATGTACACATACGCGATCGGAGGTCGGGCGTCGATAAAAACCCGGCGTGGCGAGAAATTTATGCATTTTATTTTAGTAGCAACTTGGTTTTTTTTTTTTCTTTTCTTTTTTTGTTTGCAAAAAAAAAAAAAGTGGAATAGGTAACTTTTTCCCCGAGAAATTACGTCAGCGAAAAAGGCAAACAAGTTCTTCTGCACGTGTGCCCTTTGCGGTTGTTCATTGTTGAGAGATAAAATTTTTCGCGAGATCGATATTTCGACGAGGGAAGGAGGAGCGCCAGGGAAGGACTTATGGGTGGCTGCATCGGGAGGCACACGAAGGCCTCTCTCTCTCTCTCTCTCTTGTTGCGAGATAATCAATTCGCACTTGCGCCTCTTTCTTTCTTTTTTTTTTTTTTTTTTTTTTTTGCAAAACCCCTGATGTTTGCCTTTCGGCGTGACACGAATCCAACAGCTCAGCGCGTCTTTCCGCGTCTATACTCGTGTGCTTTTGGAATTAGCGACTGTAGCGTCGAATTCGGACAAATACATGTAACGTGTGCAGCGAGTTTCCGTGAAATTGGCCGTTGTACAAAAATGCATTTTTTCCCTTTTTTTTTTTTTTTTGTTTTGCTTCATACTGCAGCAGACGCTCGACAATGAGATGGAAGTGTACTGCGAATCGATGCGGGCTTTTACCAGTTTTCAAGAAAAGTTTTTCTCTACAACTTGACCAAAATGATCCGCAACTACCGAAATGACGAAAAAACGAACATGCAACAACATCATCCCAAGAGTGAAAAACCGGCTTGGATAAAAGAAAGGAGCACTTACTCGAGGGACCTTTTTATCCAGCGAGATTTTTCTACGCGTCAGGCATGGCCATTTTAATCCAAAGCTCTAGAGCCCTCGTTTGGCCAATGACAAGGGGGAGGATGAAAGAAAGAAAAAAAGAAAGTCGAAGCGTCCTTTTGGCGCTGGGACGATCGCGTTCGGTAACAACGTTATTGCGGCGTACACAGGTAATACGTATCATCGGCATTCGTCATCGCGGCGAAAGAGAAAGATATAGCTACCGAGTTATTCATCGGCAAGGCTTCCGGCACGAAATCTCATGTACATAGGGAGCAGAATCGTCACGAAGTAGCAAAGAGTCGCGGGTATATAAATATACGTACAGCGCGTACGTGGACTCATCGATCGGCCGGAGATAAATCGAGCGCGCGTAGTATACGTATGTGTTCCTTTTCTTATGCCTCGTTGATTCCTTCGAAAGAGAAAGAGCCGGGGGTGACCTTCTTTGCGGGATTAATGCATCACTTAACTTTCGATCCCGGCCAATTATTGTCATTTATCGTCTCGGACTCGGCGCTTTATTAGTTGGACATTTTTTTCTCGTACTGCAATATAGGGGACGATGATTAGTTGTTCGTGATGGTGTTGCAATGGAAAGAAAAGGAAAAAAACGGCTAGATTGTGGTGACGGTAGAGGTTGAAAGTGAATGGATCATTACTCAGCGCCGGTGCTGTTGACGTGCTCGAGGTGGAGACTCGCCGGTGGCGGGCGTATCGTCACCTGGCGGCTTCCGCCCGGTATGAACTGAATTTGCTCGCTGCCATCGTACTGCGATTCAACTGCGGTGTCGAGCGCCAGATCCGCCAGATCTGCCATTATCGGGCTCCGTCAAGCCTCGGGGTTGCTTGCGGGTGACAATCTTTTTTTTTTTTTCCCCTGAAAACATGCATGTTTCATTCAACCATTTTTTTTTTTTTTTTTTTTTTTTTCATAATACACTGTCATTTATTTTCGTGCTCTGGTGGAATTGTGTAAACAAAAATACGCGAAAGCAGCTCAATGATACTTTTGTGAATCGATTAACAGTTTTATCGGGACATTAAGTATGTATATTTTGTGGAAAATTTAGTGTTTCATCGATGTAATTATTTTCATTACGTTTGACTTTGTAAGTTATAGACGCGTATTTAATAAAACGCTTACTCCCTCGCGTATATATGTCGCACGGTCGATATGTTAACATGAAATAAAGATAGCAATTCTCACCGAATACACGTTATGCCTTTAATCCAAACGTGTTGTAATATTTTTTACAAATATATACATCTATGTGTTGAATTTTTTCAATAAAAAAAGTGCATCGAAGCCGTCGCATCAAGACTTTTCGGGGAACGTGTAAATGTTTTTTGTCGAGTGTCTCGAAACGTGTGCTTGCAAGTGATGAAAGCTAAATGCACTCGCACATGGAATCGATCAAACATAGGTACGTACTATTGTACATCGAGTTGTATAGCTTTGAGCACAGGCAACACACGACGGTATTGTGTTTTTTACATTTCCATTAAAAAAAGAAGACGAACCGACTAGCGGAGGAAAATAATTGTCTGGAAAAGCGTCAGTTTAATCATTTACGCGATATTTGCGACTTTGAAGTAAAAAAAAAAAAAAAAAAAGGCTATCTAATACTTGCTTGTATCGCCACTTGCACGACCCGCGTCGTATCAAAATAATGGTTGGTTCGTCACGTGCAAGCGCTACATGTGCAAGTCTAGCGTGTTTGCACGACATTTCATACTCTTGTCTTGTGCAAAAGCTTCGATTTTCAAGTTATTCAAGTAAACTTTTGTTACTTTGTTCCAAACACACTCACGTGTGTATATTAACTTTTATCTACTGATAATGAAAGAAATGAAAGAAAATGTTTGCCGAACACGTGGAACAAAAACAGTGGGGGGAAAAAAGAGTCGTTAACTTTTCACGAAAAAAATGCGAGACTATCAGTTTTTTCCTACTATATCGTTTTGCGCGAATCGAATATGAAGAAAAAAAAATTACAATCACCAACGCAGATTACACGTTTTTCTTGCGTATACGAGATAATTCACAAGTATGTCGTTTTAAACGCGTTTACCGCTTGAAAAAATTGAAAAGAGGAAAAAAAAAATCCCATGGTTTGTCGGATGATAGAAATCGAGACGAAAATATCTCAAGGAAATCATGGGTGTGCAGGATATATGTATAGCATCGCGGCTTTTCAGCCGAAACTAACATTATTGTAACAGTCGGGGTGTGTGTATTATATACACACGGTACAAGTGTATATATATGTAATATACCCACTACCTATAGTCGTTCATGCAAGCGCGCGGTATAGCCGTGCGGTGCTTTTTATAGAAATTAAACGCCCAACGCGCATATACACACACACACACACACACACACACACACACACACACGTATACGCATCGTGTACTCGAGAGCCGAGTTTTCTCTCGGGTCGTGCGCTCTCAATTGGGGCAAATATTAGCTTCGATTAAGAGAAATTAAAAACGAAAATTGATACGCTCTCGAGTACCTCGTTCACCTACATGTACACGGACAGCGTGACCGGTCGGCTAATGGATACATATATGTATATATAACGATTCATCCACAAGTGATGACCAGACGCGCATCGAGCGTACAAGTATTACCCGTTACAGTACACCCGATCCAAAAGTTTGATTATTCTCGAGTGAATTTCCAATTCTCGTCGTTGCAGGTATACGATAACATCTCCGTGACCTTTAAATACCTTCCCTCGACCGATATATATATATATATATACATACATATTATACGTGCATGCCGTATGTACGTTAGGCCCACACGTGTTAGTTAATGATGAGCCACTGTAATGTATCATGCGACACCGAGTCTTTTCCAAATTTTCAACGAGTTTTCGTTTGATCGGCCGGTAAAAGACGTGTACAAAACGAGCCCCGTAAACTCGCGCGCCCGAATTACTTATTTTGGGGAATTAAGTTCAACAACTGGTGCCGGCCCGACAACTCAAAATAGCAATTTCATGCGAGTACGCGCAAAATGTGCTCTGTTTCAAATATGCAAGTATACCTATACACCGCGCGAGTGGTGAGTGCGCGCGCGCCCTCACGTGTGTGTGCGTGCGCATTTGAATGCCATCCAATAACGCATAGCGAGCCAATTATTTTTAAAAGTGTTACGGAGCTTTTTGGATAATTTAGGAATACCGCATGCCGATCGAAGAGCTATGTAGTTGTATACGTTTATTTTAGTTTATTTTATTTATTTTTTATCTATTTTCTTTTTTGTTTTAGTTTACTCGTCACCGGGAGAACAATTAAACACTTGCGACTAATGAAATTTGTCAATTCGTTATTCACTGTGCACAAGTGTTTTTCAACATCAAGTATAGCATATGACTGTCATCGTCGCGAACTGAAACAATGACAAACGACAAGCCACTGGATCACTCGCGAATACTACAGTCCAAGGAAGGATATTTTTTTGTCAGGCTGCGCCAAAGATCCCCAGCATCTTCCGCCCTTTCCTTTATAATTTTTTTTTTTGTTTTTTTTTTTTTTCGTTTGGTGGCCAAAGCGTTCCGAAATACCCACCCATTCAGCCGACGACGATCAATCGCTTCACCCTTCTCTCTCATACATGTATATAATATGTATACTACAAAGGATGCATGCACCCTCGCACACCCCACTTTTGGAGCAAACGAACAAAAAAACAACAGCACCAAAAATAAAAACCTGGCCCTTTAAATCAAATCTTCGTATCCGTTCATAAATCCGCGTGCAAAGCCTCGCGTCGCAGCACCGTTACACCCACTACTCCCCTTCGTTCCACTTGCTAATTGTACATGTATATTTTTTATTCATTCGTGTATATGTATAATGCATATATATATATATATATTTATGTACGAACAATTTTATCTCGAGTAGGGTAGAAAATTTGTGCCCATCTCTGGCACTCGCAGCAGCGTATATATATTATATACGTGTGATATAATATGTCAGCGAAGAACAAGGGCTGCTCCACACACCCTCCTTCTCTCTATCCCCCTCTTCCCTCCCGGCGTCGGACTGTCGTAATAATTGCAAGTAATATCAGCTGTGCTGCTGGTGGTGGTGATGGTGCTCCTTTTACTCCACAATTCACGGGGCACTTGGGTAATTCAACAGCGACACCCACGAGACCACGCGGCACACGAGTACACGTTTCTTTAACTGATTTTTTTTTTCTTTGACTATTTTTTTTTACTTTATTTTGCACACACCCACAGTCACATGTCAACGGCGCAGCTGCACGGCCTGCAGTCGTTCGTAACGCCACGAAACTACTTATCCCTCGTATAATATATATATATAATACAACCTTGTTACCGCGCGCACACCATATCCGTTCTGGCTTGACAGAAGTTGTATTGTGTATACAGAGCGAGCGCCAATGGAGATAGTTTAGTTACTTAGTAGATATAACACTGGAGGTACAAAAGTGACGGTGCAGGAGTGTGTGTTAAAGACCGAGAGTGACTGGCCGATGTGTCCGTCCGGCTGGTGCACCAGCACTGACGCCCGAGAGGAATATACCGATACGAGTCGGTCGAAGAGTAGTTTATACCCTGCAGCCGGAGCGGTATATAGTGGTTTTATAGATATAGCGGAGGTATATATATATATATATATACACGTAAGGTAGTTATGCGCCGATGCGACCCGATTTATCTATATATATGCGCGTGAGCACAGCTGTGTGTATATCTTATATATTTACGCTCTTTTTTTTTACCCACCACACACCAGCCAAGCTAGCCGTCAGACCGGCGGCCCCGCTACTACTGTCGCTGTGTACAACACACAGAGGCTTGTACTACTGATCGTGCCGCAGTGCCGTAGCTATGAGGCTCTTCCTCTCGGAGCCTCGGACGGAACCACGACGCGAGAAAGGGACAAAGATATGATATGACGACTGGGTGTGTGGGATGCAAGCGTATATATAGGCATATAAGCGGAGAGGCTCTTGGTGCCAGCGCTGTCTTTTCCTTTGTCCGGGACGTGGGTTTTGGACCGCCCGGAGCTGCAAGGAGGCACACACGACGCGTTGCGCGCCCATTGTTACGCGCGAACGAAGGATTTTCCGGAGGTACTTTTTTTTTTTCCTTCCTCGGAATTAGGACGTACATATAATGTATAGAGTATCTCATGAGCTTTGGAATTTTTTGCTCACGTAACTGTTAATCACCGACAGGTCTCGAAGGTATAATGGCAAATCGCACCAAAGTGCAGTTTCTAGGATGATGTGCCATTTTTGCAAGCGCAATTTATAGGTACCCAATGAAACGCGCTTTTTGCGAAAAACAGTTGCAAGTACATTTATATACGCGGTGCAACACAAAGGGAATTCCTTTTTTTCACGACCCTCAAAGAGACGCACAAGGGTGGAATTTGTCTTTGCCCGAAAATACGTAAAAATGGCAAAAGCAAGGCATAACAAAGGAGCCGGGAGCATTGTCGATGATCCAAATACCGAATACGGCAAAAGAGGATATGACGCGAAAACGGCACCCAAAGGTCGCGCGGCTACGCGCTCGGAAAAACGGTTGTCACGGCTGGACCGGAGGAAAATTCAGGAAATTGCTGATTGGCACCGCTTGCGTGTAAACGAGAAAAAACTCGTGAGAGCTACATTTCGACGTGCGTACAAAGAGGTAATACGGCGTTCTTTAGGGATTTATTGTTTTTGAGACGTTGAATCGGTTTTTGTTCGTTAAATCTATAGCTAAACGCGTTTGTACGAAGCACACGCGCGATTATCTTAAACGCCAAGCGGAAAAACAGATACACGATGAAAGGCAATCTGTTCCAGCGCGCGCGGTGATGGTCTCTCTGCGCAGCTTAAGCGCGTACAGTGATGTGTAATCACATATACCTCGGATTCAGAGCAGCGTAATCGTTACTTCCTGTTTCCTGGAGAAAACCGAGGTCGAGCCGTGCACTGTATAAATTTACGTAGCCTCATCGCACCGCGTCTCCATCAATACCCGGGTACAGGTGATCCACTCGTACCTTTCAATTTTCTTCATATTTCAACGTGTTCTGATGTGCCGATTTTTTTTTTCTTCCGGCACGTGTAGTCGACTATAGAGAAGGAGTAACAAAAAGGAGAACAAAAAAAAAATTGGCGGCAAGATCGAAACCTTGCAAGAGACGAATATCAGAGGGCACGGTTTTTAAGTCTTTTTTAAACGCTTGTGTCGTTGTACGATGCATACATATTTTATTTGTCGTGTATACGGAAGGTCGCCTCTACGTGTGCATTTTTTATGTTTCCTACTTTTCAACGTTACGCACATTATTTTTGTTAAAAATTATTCCTCGAACTTTGAATATTCATCGATTTTTTTACTTTTCAACTTTTAAAAATGATGACTTATTGTTTTGATGTACCTATACTTAGGGAAAAAAATAAAAATAAAAATAAAATCCTTGGACATTTCATACAGCACTGCACAACGCATCAATGACACACTCTCTCGTGGTCCACGTTTGAATCAAGTTTTTTTTTGTTTTTATTTCTTGCAAGTCCCATATTACGAGTGAGCTTATCTCATTACTGCTGAAAGAAGTACGTCTACGCAAGCACGCAAATTAAGCGCTGAATAATACCGCGACGTTTGGTTGTAATCACGGCAATTTCAGCTACAAATAATACGCGAGTCATGCGCGCAACTACGACTTTGCGACGGCAAAAACATTAGTCGTCGAGACGTCAGAAATTACCCACGTTACCGCTTTGTCGATATGATAAGGCAAAACAAAAAAAATTCGTGTCTCTCTTGAAATCAAAAATCGCTCGTCCGAACCTTCTTTTTTGTTTATCCCGTTAAATGAAGGTAAACATATATATGTCGGTCTATGTGCTCGAAATAAACATCAATTGAACTCACGGCTTTGCCTTATTCGTCTATTTATGTGTTGGTCGCCGCTAATCCATAAAACACGTACATGTCTCTCGGTCTCTGTATACCTACGCACACGCAAACAAAGAACCCAATCATATATATTATAATGTACCAGTGTGCTCATCGTGACTCGATCGTCATTGTCGTCATGCACCTAATAGCTCAGCCGATTTTATATTCATACATTATTTGTCCAGTTTGCGCTGCTGAGCTTTCTTTTACTTGTTTTTCCCCCATTTCTTTTACACGCCTATAATCAATGCTACGCGCACGCGATAGATACCACGTCAAGCATAAATTGCCGAGTGATTTTTATCCTATTTGTTTCAGCTGCGGATGGTCGGGAAACATTTTTCTCGTTGCATACGGAGCCGCGTTGTTTTGCATCCACACGCGGACCTGTTTGATTATCGGCGCAAACAGCTAATAAAAAAAAAAAAAAAAAGAGAGTCAACGATGATTGTACGCAAAAACACCCGATCATCTTCAAGTCCCGACAAAACAAAGCCGTAAAGTTTGCTTGCGATTTTCCCACAGCCACAAAAACCATCCCCTCAAAGTCATCCGAGCGCACCGAGTGGCGGCACTGCTCTCGGCCGGACTCGTTCGCGTGCGGCTCATTAACAGCACGATATCTTTCCCGGGACGCTGGATTTTTTTTTTTTTTTTTTTTTTCACTGTTTCATCCTTTCTCCGAGTGCAGCTGCACTCAGCGGCACAACAGCCGCACCGGGTGCGCTCGCACTCTCGAGTGTGACTCATGCACTCTGCCAACAACGACGACACTGAGCTGTGTGCAGCGTTGTGCGAAGTACATATCCTATCTCCAATTGAAATGCCAGCGTGAAAAAAAAAAAAAAAAAAAAAAATAACAACAATGCCCTGACGCAACAACGCGTGCTCTATTGGCTTGGGAAAACTGTTCCGACGGCTGCTCTTTGTCGGGAGTGTCATGTATATATATCGTTCATGCGTAGGTATACCGTTTTCGATTTGCCGATTTTTCCAAAATCCAGTGTCTCCAGTCGCGCATGACGCTGGCACCTTATCACCCGCGCGATGAAAGAGATCGCGTTAGTCAGAGCGTCGGAATCAAAACACGTGCATGTATATACACGCATATTATGACGGTGGAAAAGAAAAAAAAAAGGTGTTGTTTCCTTTTTGTCCCTCGATCGACGAATGTTTCCTGCTGCCGGCGAAGATCGGTAATCGTAAGATACGAGTAATTGCCTTTATTAATTTAAAATTTGCGAATAGTGGTGAAATCGTATACAGAGTCTGTTTTGTCAGAAGCCCGGGGCTCCAACTCGATCGGCACTGCGCTCGCGAAAATCTCGGTCCGTTTTGTTGCTCGTAGAGCGCATGCACCATATAGTAAGTATACAGCGAAGACAGTTCCACGCGCCGAGAGTGGAAATATATATAAGTATAAAGGCGCCGCTCATCGATATACCCAACACACCCGCGAGTTCGACTTTCCCTCAATGAAAATCGCGAGGATATAAATCTATCGAACCCCACCCACCTACGTACAACTCTCTGGGAGGGAAGGAAAAGAAAGCCCGCTCCTCTTCCCCCAATGCAAAAGCAATGCTTTTTCTTTCTTTGGTTTTTGTTGTTGTTGTTGTTGTTGTTGTTTTTTTGTTTTTTTTTTTCAATTATTATTTTGTTTTTTTGAGGAAAACGACATCACTTGCAAAAAATGTAATTAAAAGCGAGAGCGCTACCATTCATACACATTTATGCGAATGTGGTTGTGGTTGGGAAAAATGTGCGCGAAACTGCATGAAAAAGAAGGGAATCGAGGAATATGCACACACAGAGAGAAGCGCAAGTAAAGGCAAGCGAGCGAGAGTCGGGTCGATAAACCGAGTGCGCGTGTATACCTATCCAATGCTTTCGTCTCTCTCCGAGTGCGCGTGCACTCCCCCGATTATACGTGTGTATATGGTATACTTATATATTCATTTACTCGTTTTATAAAAAAAGAAATACTATGTATATGTATATAACAACATCATGATGTGCAGCACAAAATATAACGAGGGAGACAAAGAAAGGAGAGGCGGGTGTACGCGAGCGTTGCACATTTATGTATTATACATGTATCACTTTTTTTTTTTTTATATATATCATAGTGCTTTACGTCCGGCTCCTTTAATAAGGGCACTACTATATGGGCACTTAGCACTTGGAACTTCCAAGTTGGAAGAGGGATAGGAGGCCTCCCATTGCTGAGAGGGGGGTAGGGGGAAATTAGGCGATTTTTGCTGCGAGAAGGTCGCCTAAACCCTCCTCGAGGAGCATTGCGTGGTGAAAAAGCACATGTGAACAATCACAGAGGTACTTGCCCGACAATGTCGCACTGGCCGGGAATCGAACCCCACGGTCTCCCGCGTGCCGATCCACGACCTAGCCACCGCGCGCTCTTACATGTACCACTAGGTATATGTATAGAAGCACTCTCGCGTGTGCTCTCAGCTATTATGTGCAATCTTAATGCTATACTTACACAACTTTTCCCGAGCTTCTTCGCGCACACGCGCATACTTACCTACTTATATTGTTCCAACTTTTGCGTTAAAACATTCATGGATATTTACGTAATTGGTACGTACATGCGTAAGGTTGTTATTGCGTGGGTAGATTTTTGGGGTGAAAGGGAAATATATTTTAATGTACATATACTTACGATTATTGTGTAATTTACTGATACTGGGGGAAATTGAAAGATCATAGAAAAATAAGGTGTCTTTCAGCTAACTTGTTTCTGGAACAATGCTCTCTATGTTTGTATAAAAATCAAATAATATTAATTAGGATTTGGTGTTTATCAAATGGCAGTGTCTAGGTACACCCAACCGTGTACCTACCGTGCACCGTGTATTGTACACGTGATAGACGGTAAAACCGTGCCCCGTGTACCGTGCGCCTGGTGCGCCGTGGTTGGGTGTACCTAGACACTGCCTTGTCAAATTCATGTATCCGAGAAAAAATATATTTTGTTAAAAGCAACAAAGGTTATTTACTTAGTTATACTTAACATTTATCTCTAAAGAAGGTGATCATAAATACGTATGATTGAGTGCGTTTACATTATTTTTGAACTCCATTTGACGATATATTTCAAGAGAACATATTTATACACTGACTCATCATGAAAAATAGTTATATTATTTATAATCTTAGAAGAATAAACTTTGCTTCGTTACTACAAGTATTACACTATTAAAAGATAAATTAATCACCTATAAATGTAGAATCAGTTTGAATTTTATACGTAACGTGAAAATTACCAATCTCTGTGCTGTCAAGTTGGTAGGTATAGGTAGGTGGTTTCTATTTTTTTTTTTTTTTTTTCATTATCTGTCGTCTGCGTCATTGTTGTTAGCAAGTCATTTTTCGTGATGGATTTTTAATATGTGATTCATGGACAACTATTCAATCTAAAAAGCTACATTTTTTATTGTACGCACAAATGATTAAATAAATGTTTTTTATTTCATACAAAAGCAAAATTCCACACTTATATTTAGGTTAAGTGTCGTATTATTCATTTTTTTTTACGAATTCCTTGTGTTTGTTAATTAATGGATTATAAAGTAATATCTATCAGATTGTTAAAATCAATTCCAAAAAATTACGAACCAGTGGTTGTCAATACAAGTACAACAAAAGGTTTTTAATTTTCATCATTCATTGTAAGTAAGAATGTGTCTGTTACAAAGTTTTTTCTTTGAATTAAAATAAATGTATGATTAAACTAAAGTTCCAGAAACTAATTGTGACGTAAAAATGGCATCAGCTAGTGAAGAAGTACTTCCTGAACAAACTGAACTGAAACATCCCCAAGAAGGGGAATCAAACTTGAGATTTGAATCTCCAAAAAGAGGTACAACTTTGTCAACCAGTACAAGCAGCTTTGAAGCTCTGGATCCACATGATCCGAATCTCAGTCGCCTTGCAAACACTATGTTTCAAAAGACGAGTGAGTACCTACAAGAAGAACTCACTGCAACTCATGAAGATTACAAGCTTCTTGAACGTATGAATAGAGAAACAATCACAAAGTATTCGGAGCTTAAGAATATCTCTACAAATGTGGCTCAATCTTTAGACTTGCTCAATCAAAAGTACAAAAAGTTACAGCCAGTTTTAGATAACATCAACGAAATAGATGAGAGTGTAACAAAATTAGAACAGGCTGCTTACAAACTTTTGGCTTACTCCAACAGATTAGAAGCAAAATTTAAGGACATGGAAAAAGAATCCAAAAAGTGAATATTTTTCAAGGGTATTGGTTATTTTGGTTTTCAAATTTAAAGTCGTAAATCATTGAATGCAGTACTTTGAACTGCATTTACATTAATGTCTGTGATTTGCTACTTGCACTTGTATGAATGTAAGATGTTATTTCGACTGTTGTAATTTAATTATTATATATTTGTAAAACTGTAAAATAATTGATAAAGTTTGAATGTTGATAAAAAAAATAATGTTAATTTATCCAAAACTAAACAACGTTTATAACTATTTGCATATAAAAAAATGATATTTCAATTTTATTTGTACAATCATTCCACAATAGATGATCATCACAATAAGGAACTTAGAAATAAATAACTTTTACAAATTATGTGTATCATAATTGTTATTATTATTTATCACAATTCAAAAAGTAAAATTTCATTTGAAAACAAATTTATAAGCATATTAATTAGCTTTGCTTTGAAATAAAAAGTTATTTAGATTTTTTTTTCTATAAATTTTCTAATCATTGCAAAAAAATAAAAGCATACAAATAACAGATGTTCATTAAATTAAAATGTCTACCTACAGTTACAGATCCAATCATGAATCAAAAACCTTAACATTTAAAGACGTTACAAACACTTGTTAGAAGTGAAATTGTTTTTAAAACTTCAATTTAAATAAAGCCCAGTCTTTGATTTTACTTTTAAACTAACTTTTAAAGATACTTGCAAATACCTAGTTTATTTGAGAATTATTGATTATGATAAGTTGTTCAAATTGTTCACTATGGTACTGTTTCCTTTCAATTCACGATTTAAGGCTAGACGGACTTTTTTCTGTTTTAAGCATTAATGATAACTTTGACTTATACTCATTGACAAGTGAAATAATAATTAAATTACTCATCAACTGTATCTAATTAATTATGTCTATTGAAGCCCGTATCTTATCCACAATATGAAAGAAATTGAGTTTCATTACATGGTAAAAAGGCTTTTTCAGTGAAAAAGATATATTTTTATCACTTAAATGTCTTGCAAAACTTTCAAACAGTAAGTTAGAACATGAACGCTTAACAGTCCAAAAAATTACTGGCCATTAAAAGTTCTAAAGCTATTTCCGGTGCAATAGGAAATTCTGGAATTTCTGTGCTCGAATTTGTATATCTGACTTTGTACGTGAAATACATGCAAACTCTTTGCAAAACATGTGATCTGTAACAAACAAGACATTTTTTTTCTTAGTTTCAGTAATTGTCAACTAAATTTTTTAATACTTACGGAATTTCCCTAAAATTGACTTCATTGGCTTCATTTTCTGCAAACTGACCAGGTCCACTCAACATAGCTTTGATTGTCCCACTTGTTAGTGCATGTTCTCGTTTCAAAATGAATTCATGACCATCGCTACTGACTAACTTTACATACATAGCATCGGGTCCTTCACAGCCACCGTAAACTGGGCCAGACTCTTGCTGTAAGTATGAATAAAATAAGTATGAATAAATTAAAAAAGATTGAGGAAGATTGAAGAAACTATGTGACAATCACATCAATTCATACTTTAGACAAAATGTGAAAAAAAAAAAAAAAAAAAAAAAAAAATTTAAGTTAGTGTATTCATTGCTTCACAATGTTAACAAGAACTTGAGAGATGATTATTGAGGTATACCTTTTCTGTTTGCATATTAACGTCTCCCGACATTTTGTAGACTTCTTATGTTATTTATCCTGAAGAAGTGAGAAAACGGCTATAAACTTTTTACATTTTATATCGTAATTATTTGATAACCTCAAAATTTCAAAGATTTCAATTTAAATTAGCGAAGTAGGTGTTGGTACTGTAAATATCTCTACAAATAAAATACGTCATGCAAAATCAAAACTTCAGAACTTAAATACCAACTAGTATAGTATAGATGAATGTAAAAGAAAAAACGTATGAAAAACAAAACAATAATGACACTTGAGCACTAATACTTTCTTCATGATTCACGTGATTTGAGCTTGATAATCGATCAAACGATAATTCGTAGAGTGAAAAATGTATCAAAAAAATGCTTCACTTTACCTAAATTAATAACAAACACACGGAGAAATTGTATTAGGATGATACAGCTGATTTTCAAGGGTAAATGAAACAGTGATATGTCATTTAAGTATCACATGAAGGTATATGTATGCTAGGGTGACGTGCGAGGGAATGGCGAGGAGAGGCAGAGGACTCCTCTAGATCTGGACTCTGAAGAGTCTGAAGGAGTGGGCGGAGGTATACTACTTTATTTCGCAAACTCTGCCATCACGCATCATACCATCAGTCCATCAGTACTGTTTCACTGTATGTAACGGTAAAGACGCAAATACCTCTGACATCTGACGAAAAAAGATAATATAAATTGTAAACTTGCCGCAAACAGCATAGAGAATTTTATCTTTTTATTCTCTACCTAGTAGAGTAGTTGCGGCTGGTTAATACTTAATTACAGGGCTCTACTGTAAATAGTAATAATCACATGGATCAGCGCCATCTAGCGTTGCAGATTTCTGAACTAAAAAGTGGCCCTAAACTTTTGACCCACAGCATTAGCGCTTAAAACCATTTAGCCAATTGTAAACCAGCCGCAACTCATTTTGTAGCTACAAAATAAAAAAATAACAATACATGTGTTTTTGGCGGCAAGTTAACAATCTATTTTTTACCAAAAATTAACCTCCTATGTATTTATACTTTTGAACATAATTTTTCGAGTATAAAATAAATTGTTAACCTGCCGCTAAAAACACATGTATCGTTATTTTTTTATTTTATAGCAACGGAATTAGTTGCGGCTGGTTTATAACAAGTTAAATGGCTCTAAGTGCTAATGCTGCGGGTCAAAAGTTTAGGGCCACTTTTTAGTTCAAAAATCTCCAACGCTAGATGACGCTGATCCAAATAAATATTGCTATAACGTATAGAAGATCAATTTAGTCAATTAAAAACCAGCCGCAACTAATCTCATAGACATGATATATAAAACAAACGTTGTTTGTGCTGTTTGCGGCAAGTTTACAATGTATCTTTTACCCAAAAATTGGCCTATACATTTATACTTTTGGAAGTAGATTTTAATTAAAGGATAACATGTAAACTTGCCGCAAATGGCACAGAAAATTTTATATTTTTATTTTCTACGTACGAAAGTAATTGCGGCTGGTATTCTCAATTACATGGCTCTTCTGTACATTGTAATAATTACAGTAGAGCCATGTAAACGTTAGTATATTTGCATGAATTAATACAAGGAAAAAAGTTCAACTCATTGAAGTTATATATACCCGATGATAACACGCACGATTTTTCATATTCTAGAAAAAAATCAAAGAAAACATATTGATGGATGATGATCCAAAGCTTGTATAAGTTTCTTGTAGTTTTTTTTTTTTTTGGTAACAAGTGTACACACGTACATGTCATATATGTAATTCTTACTAATATCGGAAGATAATTTAATAATTATAGTGAATATATAACTTTTTAAGTAACAGTAATTTCCCTCGACACACATATATACGACTAAAACTTGGTAACTTCCTTAAGATATACTACTTGAAATCATGAACTTTTCGGAAAAAAAAAACATTCTTGAATTTCATTAATATAATTTCATTGCATTCTTTTAAAGTACATTAATTCGTGTGGTACCTCGTGATGTTTTTCATTTCCTGATTATCATCACAACTGTAGTGTTTAAATAAGTATGTTTAGTTTGAAGTAAACGTTTGCTATGGCATGCCCATCAACATGATTTTTCACAGAACTACGCAAAAATATTATCATTCTCATATTATATTTGCTTTATTCAAACACGTTACTCATAGATAATAACAACAGGTTAAATACAACGTGAGATATCTCTCTTGTCAGTCAATTAAACGTGTGTGCAATGCAATTGTCATCTTGATCCTTGCCCCCCCCCCTCCCTACATAAGGCATCCTTGTATAAACAAAAATCATTAATAGAAGTATTAGTAAAATAGTAGTACTTGTAGTAATTACTACTAAGTAAGAGTCGATTTTATAAGTTGAATAAGATAAGTAGAATATTTATGGTTTTGGAGGTCGATTTTTGGGTAGAATATAAATTGTAAACTTTCCGCAAATATTACAAAAAATGTTAACTTGTTATTATCTATCTATCAAATTTTTTGCGGCTGGTTTATAGTTAATAATATGGCTTTACTTACTTTAAATAGTAATAATTATTTTGATCAACGCCATCTAGCGGTATTTTTTTTTTCGCCAAAAGTGGCCTCTAAAATTCTGAAACCGAGCATAAGAGCTTAGAGCCATTTAGCCAATGACAAACCAGCCGCAACTAATTTAATAGCTATAAAATATAAAAATAACGATATATGTGTTTTTGGCGGCAGGTTAACAATCTATTTTTTACTCGAAAATATATCTTCAAAAGTATAAATACGTTAGAGGTCAATTTTTTGGTAGAAAATAGATTATTAACCTGCCGCTAAAAACACATGTATCGTTATATTTATATTTTGTAGCTACAACATTAGTTGCGGCTGGTTTGTTATTGGCTAAATGGCTCTTAGCCCTTTTGCTCGGTTTCAGAATTTTAGAGGCCACTTTTGGCGCAAAAACAAATACCGCTAGATAGCGCTGATCAAAATAATTATTACTACTTAAAGTAAATAGAGCCATATCATTACTTATAAACCAGCCGCAACTAATGTAATAGATGAAAAATAAAATGTTGACGTGATTAATCCTGTTTGCGGCAAGTTTACAATCTAATTTTTACCTGCGAATCGACCTCCAAAACCATAAATATTCTACTTATCTTATTCAACTTATAAAATCGACTCTTACTTAGTAGTAATTACTACAAGTACTACTATTTTACTAATACTTCTATTAATGATTTTTGTTTATACAAGGATGCCTTATGTAGGGAGGGGGGGGGCAAGGATCAAGATGACAATTGCATTGCACACACGTTTAATTGACTGACAAGAGAGATATCTCACGTTGTATTTAACCTGTTATTATTATCTATGAGTAACGTGTTTGAATAAAGCAAATATAATATGAGAATGATAATGTTTTTGCGTAGTTCTGTGAAAAATCATGTTGATGGGCATGCCATAGCAAACGTTTACTTCAAACTAAACATACTTATTTAAACACTACAGTTGTGATGATAATCAGGAAATGAAAAACATCACGAGGTACCACACGAATTAATGTACTTTAAAAGAATGCAATGAAATTATATTAATGAAATTCAAGAATGTTTTTTTTTTCCGAAAAGTTCATGATTTCAAGTAGTATATCTTAAGGAAGTTACCAAGTTTTAGTCGTATATATGTGTGTCGAGGGAAATTACTGTTACTTAAAAAGTTATATATTCACTATAATTATTAAATTATCTTCCGATATTAGTAAGAATTACACATATGACATGTACGTGTGTACACTTGTTACCAAAAAAAAAAAAAACTACAAGAAACTTATACAAGCTTTGGATCATCATCCATCAATATGTTTTCTTTGATTTTTTTCTAGAATATGAAAAATCGTGCGTGTTATCATCGGGTATATTTAACTTCAATGAGTTGAACTTTTTTCCTTGTATTAATTCATGCAAATATACTAACGTTTACATGGCTCTACTGTAATTATTACAATTTACAGTAGAGCCATGTAATCTTTTATAAACAAGCGGCAATTTTACACGTATTAAATCAAAAGTTAACGTAGTCTGTGCTATTTGCGGCCAGTTTACAATTTATCTTTCACCTAAAATTTACTTCCAAAAGTGTAAATATATAGGTCAATTTTTGTTCAAAAATATATTGTAAACTTGCCGCAAATAGCACAGACAACGTTCGCTTTATATTTTATGTCTATGAAATCAGTTGCGGCTGGTTTATAATTGACTAAATGGCTTTACTATAAGTTATAGTAATAATTATTTTGATCAGCGCCATCTAGCGGTATTTTTTCCGCCAAAAGTGGCCTCTAAAATTCTGAAGCCGAGCAAAAGGGCTTAGAGCCATTTAGCCAATTATAAACCAGCCGCAACTCATGTTATTGCTATAAAATAAAAAAATAACGATACAAGTGTTTTTGGCGGTAGGTTAACAATTTATTTTCTACCAAAAAATTGATCTCCAACGTATTTATACTTTTGAAGATATATTTTCGAGTAAAAAATAGATTGTTAACCTGCCGTTTAAAACACATGTACTGTTATTTTTTTATTTTTTGGCAACAGAATGAGTTGCGGCTGGTTTATAATTGGCTAAATGGCTCTAAGCGCTAATGCTGCGGGTCAAAAGTTTAGGGCCACTTTTTAGTTCGAAAATCCCCAACGCTAGATGTCGCTGATCCATTTAATTATCACTCTATAACTTATAGTAGAGCCATTAGCCATTTAGTCAATTATAAACCAGCCGCAACTAATCTCATAGACATAAAAATCTAAAATCGTGCAATATAGAGTTGGCTACATTATGGAGTCAGAAAATAAGGAAAATTTTCTGGAGGAGCCTGTACTAGAAGATGAGGCAGATGAAGAGTTGGACTCAGTGTAAGTTATTAAAAAAAACAATTATTTGATTGTATCAATACATAGTTGGAGATTACTTTTGCAGTATGAGAACACCTGAAGAATTGGAGAAGATACTTATGTTGGCAAATATTCCTAGTTCTGAAATAGCTACGATAATTCAAACCTTGTATTCTTCTATACCCTTGGACTCGCAAAATAGTGATTATTTGGTAATGGAAGTTGACAATAACGTTTTAGAGGCAATAAAAAATGGAGAAAGGTTTGTATTTCGTTCATTAAATTATTAAATTAAATGTTGAATGAAATTTTTTTCTGAAAGATTTTTTAAATTAATGTTATTACGTTTAGTTTATCGTTTAGAGGGGAGGAAAATGAGCCAGCAGTTTTTTGTACTAATAACATAACATATGAAGTCAAAGAAGCTGAAACATCAAACACGTGTTTAGTAGTGCCTGGTCTAAAATGCTTGGATCAAGTAAACATAGAAGGTGCGGAAACAAAAATTGTTGAAAAAAAAGAAATCACTCTTTCTTATCACAAGTACTTAGAGGTATGTGCTTGATAATCAAATGATATTACAACATTAATGAACTATTAATTTTATCTCATGTTCAGTTAAAACAATGCATCCCAAAATTGAATAAATTGCAAACCATTTTGGAACCGTCGTCATTCAAAGGATTAGAATATGAAAAGTTGTTGGATCCATCGTGTTTTTATGACTGGCAAAAACTGCGAAATGAAATACAAGCCAGTGATGAAGAAATAAAAGAAGCACTTGCAGATAATTTAATAGCTGAGTTGGATGGTAACTATTCCAATGGTAAAATGTTATAAATAAAAATTTTTCAATTGCTTTTTTATGATTTTACAGGTTATTACCGTTTGATATCTTTTGAATTTGAAGCCAGAGCTTTAGGATTTATGCTAGATTTAATAGAAGAAAATTCTTGGGAACTAGATGAAATAGACAAAGACGCTTCCTACGAATCTTTGGACGAAATAATCCCTAAGCCGGTTTTTGAAGTTCTTTTTAAAAAGTACGCAGAGCCAACTAAAACAAAAGAAGACGGAACCCAATTGTATCGGTATGTAATGACTCTTTAAAGTCTCATAATTTTTATTCAGCATAAAGTAGACTTAACACGATATTTGGTACAGCTTTAACGAAGCAAAGTCATGTAAGCTCTTGGCTCATGTGTTACTTTCCGCTTCTCGTTTGAACAAGTATGATGATTTTATGAAAGCTTGGAACATAGGAACTCCTGAAAATTTTGAGCCAAAAGAAGAATACTTGTATGGCGTGGCAATAGTGAGGTATAATAAACAAGCCATGAGGAAAGAAGTGATTTTTTATCCTGAGTCGTCTTTGCCTGATGATCTTATCAAAAGATTAGACAAGTTATTCAACGTCAAAGAAAAATGGACGTTTCCGGAAATTGCTCCTTATTTATCGTTAGTTCATAAAACACAGTTGTATTTTCAGAAAAATTACTTTTATATTTACTTTTCATTTATTTTTCTACAGGAAATTCGAAACGAAAAATGAAAACGTCAATACCATTTTAATGAAGTATACGAGGCCGTCTACATACATGGGTGTTCAATATTACAGTGCTAAACACGGAAAATAAAAGAAAATATTAGCATTCTGGATATTGTTTTTATCAATAACGAAAATCCGTCCGTGTGACATGAATGGTAGCACAATAAACGTGTCATCCAGTGGCTGTAGATTCGAGGTTTGATATACATTGTGTCATACATGTTAACGGATGCAAAGAAGGCTAAAACCCCTTGCATGGTAAAAATAATTATAATTTTAAGCAACCAAAACTCCTATTTTATAAAGAATTTATATAAATTTTGTACATAATAAGTAAGCAAAAATAAAAATTATTTAACTAGATATTTCAAACTTTGCAAGAAGACAATATTATTTATTTAAAAATGATTGAGAATTATTTGCAGAATGTAAAAGTTGTATAGGTAGTCATTCTCTTTAAGCTTTGGCAAATTGAGTCTGTAAAATTTTAAAAATTATAATATAGAAATTTCTTGGAATGGATGTTAATAACGGGTCGGTGTACTTAAAATCATGATTTTTATTTATTTACCGATATATAATTATAATAAATGTCATAATAATACATCATTACATTTACACAAATTTACACATATCTTTAAACAAGGTGACGTTCAAGTTTGTAACAAAAATAAAAAAAAAAGGTAATTGATAGCAATAAACTATTTAAATTTTATAAATGCCATATATTGTTTCCTGCAAGACATAAATCATATGAAATCTACAATTGCATATTACGATATCAACGCTAGCGTCTTGAATAGTTAGCAGCACATTGTACTTTACCGACTTATTTCTTTCGAAATTTCATAGTTTACTGCAATGCATAAGTAACTATAACTTTTTAGTATATTCAAGCATTATGTAGTTTATCATTTTTTTATCCACGTAAATTATTCTCATGTCTCTCTCGATATCGGCAAAAATATTGTTTTTCTTATAATTAGCCAGTGTAACAAAAAGCGTCTCGATAATTGCGTGTGAATTGCACGTAGACAATAATACTATTACTTTCTCAAAATGGTAGGGGTCGATTGGGGGAAACTCGTATAGAATGTATGCTGCTTTTGTGTGCATATGAAAATGTGCGCGACTCGATAGGAACTGATGAAATATTGAATATCCACCAAATACACATGAGTGTATTAATTTATTTTTTAAGAACATCCACTTCATAGTTTGTAAAAAACATTCCGTATAAACGTCACAAGCCAGTATAAATTTTTTTACTTTTAGTCAAAGTAGAAAGAACATTCAGTACGTATGTATGATTATACTTATATCTTTACACAGCATTTAATTGTTTTTTAATGTCATTTATCATTTATTTACGATCATAACCGTAAAGTAAAGACATTGGACTATCGCATCTAGAAACCTATCGTTTTTTAAAAACAGTATATTTGCTGCGTAACTATATATATATCATTGTCGATTCTATACGTGAACTTGCCGATAACTAAATGATGGAGTATGTGTCATCAAGACTATAAGAATGTATACCAGTTGGCGTGCAGTAATAAATCATTTACGATACAAATGAAAAATTTACATCTATAATGCAATATTAATATCGTCAAGCAAATGTATAAAAATCTAGTAAAGAAAATTATAATGAAATTTTGTTAATACCAAAATCAAGAGAAAATGAAGAATGTTTTTAAATTAAAAAAAAACATACAAATAACGCTCTTTAACTTCATAAATTGTAGTCTCACGTTACTGTCATCATATGTATATTTGTAATTTACGTAACAAATATCGTAATGGTAAATCTAAAGCTTTGGAGTCTTACGGTCGATATTAATAGTATATATATCCGTGACTTAAACTATATTTATCGACATGATATTCCTATAATAGCTAGTGAATACTGTTTTATATATACATCGTACATATGTATATATAAGTATATAAAACTATATTTATCGACATGATATTCCTATAATAGCTAGTGAATACTGTTTTATATATACATCGTACATATGTATATATAAGTATATACTTGCTACATTATTATTATTTTTTTTTATTAAAGAAAAAACACACTTGCCACTTTGGTAGCAAAGAGAAAGTTTATAAATTGATTAAAGAGCAAATACACATTTGCTTCTATAGCAAGGAGGAAAGGTGCGATGGGTAACTTTTCGCTCGAGTCTTAATTATACTATATGTACAATATTTCTTTAATGTTGTCCTGTTGCACTATTTTAACATTGAACGGACATTAAAGTGATATCGATTGTTTCCGGCGTAAAACTACAAATCAACAGAACATAACAAGAACAACAACAACAAAAAAAGAGGCCAACAAATAATTTTGACAATCGCCCTCAATTGATAAAGAAACAAAAAAAAATCTAACGCAAGTAAACACCTCATCGTTAGCTGTCGTTCGACTGGAGCTCTTTGCCAATTTTGTTATTGAACATCGAGCTCTGAGTGATGTCCGTGGATAGAGAAGACTGATGTTGATGGATGATCGGTGCCTTCGTCTGGACAATGCTGCAGGTGACCGGCACCGGTGGCAAATTCATCAAGTTTCCACAGGGGCTACTCGAGAGCGAGGGTCGCTTCCGCTCGAGGCTGTTGGTCACCATTTGTCGTCTGGTCGTCGAATTGCGCTCGAGACTGTTAACCATGTGGTGCCGCCGCTCCAGGCTCGACATCCCGTTACCGTCAAGCTGTCCCTAATAACAAACAGAAAATACGTACATTCTCGCTTCGAATATACATACAAGTAAGAAGCAGGGGGAGGATATAATTACACACTGCACTCACCTGTGATCCACGATCAACGGATTGGCCCATTCGGTGCAGGAGGTCGCCGCTCTGGCTCTGCCGGAAACCAGGATTGCTCTGCCGCTCGCTGGAATGACTTCGCCTGAGCTGCTCGCCGGACTGGCTCGAGCGCATGCGGTACTCCTGTGCCAAGCCCCTCGAGTTTGTCATTTCGTTGTGCCTCTGGCATATTTGGCTATCTACGTAAGGGAAGCGGATCCTAATCGAATCTATCACGTCGAGCAAATTTTTCGCGTCCATCGCCAGGATATGAGCGGCAGATAGCATACCCCTGGAAGTAGAACAAAGGAAGATTTTGGGTACCCATACCGATTTTTTGGAGACACAATAAATAAACAAATAAATAAATAAAAGTTGCATTCTTACTTGCGATACTCGGCGTCGAGAGTCGTGGCACTGTAGTTCTGGGCAAGCTTCATCGCGGTAACGAGCTCAGCCATGTCCTTGCTGAGCACCTTGTGCGCCATCTCTACCTCCCGGTGAGCATTGGCGGGCAGTATTTCCACGAGCGCGTCGACCGACGAGAGGAGCTCGCGCAGCTCGATACCCACGCGGCGCACCAGATCGAGGTACTGGTCGGCCCTGCTTTGCTGAACGCCCTGGGACAGTGCCATCACGGCACGTACTACGCTGGTCGTGCAGTCGTACACCTTGTCGTTCGTTCGATCGAGATCGGCAGTGGGCGTCGGCTCCATTTTCTGTCGGCATTATTGAACAAACGAGCTATTCAATGCGGGCGATTGCCAAATAGACGTATGATTTACAATAGTACACAAGCCGAGGAGTTTACCTTGACTACGATGATTTTGTCGGAGCCCTTATCGGACCCCAGCGACCCCGTGCTCGTCGTGGTGTGAGTCTCGTGGTTCGGCGATTGCGTGATCGATCGCGGGATCGGCGGACTCGCGCTCTCGTCGCCGCTCGTTGCTATCGACAGGCGTTTCTGCAAAACGAGCGTATCAATCACGCTTTGTAAATCAAATACTTATTTAATAACACACGCGCAAACACTCACCTCTTCTCTGGCTAGCCACCGGCTGTCCTCTTCCGACTGACGCTGCTGTTCGAGCAAACGTTTTTCCAAAAACTGCTTCACGTCTTCGACTCGAGGATTGAAATCGGCAGTGGTCTCAAACATCTGGGACTGTGCGTTTCTCTGTTAATGGAAATAATGTACATTTGAAACAATCGATGTATGTGAATCCTTATACGGTATATCGATTAAGTGTGTATATAGCGTGTGCAAAAATTCTATCGCTAGTAAAAAAAAAAAAATATATATTTCGAAGTAAAATCAAACAAGGTACATAAATTATCTTACGATTGTGATTTTGTGTATGTACAAACGTTGGTGTGATAATTGCGTACACGTTTTGTAAGATCATGTCCTAACTAAGTTTATTAATCAAACGTTGATGCATGCAAGTGTATAAACACGAAAATATGACGTGTTACTAAAAATAAAATACAGATAATCCTAATACGGTGCATCTATGATCCACTAGTATAAAAAAACTTCATGCGCTATGATGCGTGTCCAACGCTTTGATAATCAATCGTATATCAAAACCAAAAAAGAAAAATCATACACCTTTGTACAATGGTGGAGGTAAAATTTAAAAATCTCGATAACAAATTCATGAAAAATAACTAAAATTTCCAAAAAAGTCACACAAGCAAAGGTATGGTAAAATTTCAAACTTGAAAACAAAATAACGGTGCTCCAACTATAATTGCAATAAAAAAAAAAAACAACAATCAAATCTACGATATCCAGCTGCACAGTGAAATGTTTGTATTGAAAAAATTATAAGTCAATAATGAACAGACAACCAAGTGCGACTGTTTCTTCCATATTTATCTAAAACAAGTAAATCGTCACTGATCATTTTCTCATCTGAATCAAAGACTCAATTCACCGATTTTAGACAAACACAGGGCACAAGGCTATATCCCCAAAAGAAACCACAGCACAAAATACCTCGCGAACAAAGAGGCGGGGGGAAAAAAATTCCATCAAACAGCTAGTGCTACCACAAAAAAAATAACCATCCGACTATTATAACAATCGGTAGATGCATGATCAAAGGATCTTCCAAACGATAAATATATAAGAAAAAAAAAAAAAGACTACAATACCACAGCGCAATAACAACAGCACATGTGTATAATAGAGAAGACGATCAGCGCAGAGTTCGCATTCTCGAGATTCGAGGCAAACCTGCTCGTGCAGCATAATCATCATAATCTCGTCGCCACCGACAGGCACATCCCCGCTGCTCGGCCCAATTAGCCCAGTGCTCGCAGCGGCGGCGGCGGCGGTATCCTCCACCAAATTCCCGTCACACAATCTTCCAGCACCCGCACCACCAGGGACAATCGTTGCATTAACGGGTACGGCGTTGGCCGTGTATACCTTGCCCACCTGGGGCATCGCGACCTGCCTGGTCTGGGCCGCGTAATGCGTCTGCACAGCCGGATGGTGATAGCTCGTGCACTGCTGCTGGGCCTGCTGGAGTTTCTGGGCCTGCACCACCGAGGTGGGCGTCGCGTGGACCGTGTAGATCGGCGCTGCCGGCGATGGCGACATCGCCGAGGAGCTGCGCTGATAGTTTTGCGAGTAGTGCGAATAATTGCTCGGCGACGACGACACGTTTGAGTATATCTGTTGGTGCTGATGCTGGTAGTTTTGGGCGTAGATCACCTGAGCCTGGCTGCTGTTGTTGTTGTTGTTGCTGCTTATGACGGGAGCACAGTAGCCTGGAGCTATGACATTGGGGGCACGCATGGCTTGCATGTAAGAAGCGACACCGGCCGCCGGGGCGCTGAGCACCGGCTCGGCCATCGTAGCGGCCGTCTGAGCGCGGAACTTGAGCACGGGACCGTATATGTTTTCGGCACTGGTAATGGAGGACGTCATGACCGATGGATAGCCGGATGACTGATTGGCACCAACAGAGTTTTGGTTTGGGCCGATAAAGGAGGAAGCGCCATTCTGGGGAAACGAGCTCGAGGAGGAAGACTGGGCTACTGAGTCGGTGGGCGGTATGCTCGGTGGCCCGTAGTTCTGGAGTAGCAGTTCGGGGGCACAGGCCTCGGCAAAGTTGCCGACAAGACTGGGGCTCTGGCTTAGGTTGCCGACTATGACTGAGCTCTGGCTGAAGCCAGCCACAGGACCATAGATCTCGACACCCGCGGCTGACGAGGCGCAGGACGACGCTGCCGCGGAGGAAAACTTTTGCACCGGTGAGTAGAGATCCGCGATTTTCGCGCTAGATGAGTACAAGCTCTGCTGGGATTGTTTGCGAGTGACATTTGGGGACTGCATAGACTCGGACACGCTTAGGTTCGACAGGAAGGAGGATATGGTGTCGGACGACTCGATCGAGTCAAGGTTCGACTCAGACTGAGAGTTGGATTCGGAAGCCAGTTGATTAGAGTTGTTGGAGGAAGAAGCACTGGACTGCAGGCTCTCAATGGGGTCGGCAAAGGGGAGGTCCGCGACTACAGCGGTGGTCAAGGTCTTGTCCTCGTCTTGGAACTGTACAGCCAGGGAGTTGAAGGGGGTCGCGGGGGTCGTGTATACCGAGGGACATACCCCTCTTGCCTGGCTCTCCTTCATCAATTGGGCGAGTACCTCTGGATTCTGGGCGACGATGTACGTGGAGACCGGAGCCGTCAGTTCGGACTGGTCAGGCGTCGTGTTGGAGCCCTGACGGCTCACAGGGGGCTTTGAAGCTGGTTGCACGTCGTCTCCTCCGACTGCGATTTTGAGAATTTTTTTGCCAATCATCCCGAATTAAGTATTTATTTTCGATAAAACAAATAAAAGTACTCTCACCCCACGACATGGCTTGAACTCTGCGAGTCTCTCGGCGTACGTTCTCCTGCTGCTGGTGCCTTTCTTCGATGAGAATTTCACTGTAGAATGAACGAAATGCATTACAGATAGACTGGAAATATAAATGACCCAATAGCCCAACAATGTCGAGGACACTCACTGTAAATTTTCTCGAATATCCTTGAAAGTTGGCCTCTTGCTCGGCTCGTAGCTCCAGCACTGCGACATCAGCGAGTAAAGCCGAGGTGGGCAGTTGCTCGGCAGAGCCAATCTCTCTCCGTTTTCCAATTTACCGATGACCTCGTTGTTTTTCACCCCTTGGAAAGGTTTCACGCCGTACATCAATATTTCCCACATGCAAACACCTTTATTCGTAAAACAAAAGCAACGTCGTTGATCATTACTTTGTTTATTGCAACTTGGGCTGAAGAAAAAAAAAAAAAAAAAAAAAAAAGACGTACCAAACATCCACACGTCCGACGAAGTGGTAAACCTGCGGAAGTTGATGCTCTCGGGCGCCATCCATTTGATGGGCAGCTTGCACTTGCTGGCCGTATAGTAGTTTTGGTCCTCGACCCATCGGCTCAAGCCAAAGTCCGCGAGCTTGACGCAATTGTTCGCCGAGACAAGAACGTTGCGCGCGGCTATGTCGCGATGCACAAATTTTTTGCTCTCGAGGTAGGACAGGGCAGTGCTTAGTTGGAACGTGTAGAGGATGAGGGCGGCGAGGTCGAGCTTGTGCTTGTTGGATTGCAGGTAGGCGCGCATCTCGCCCAATTTGGCGAGCTCCATGACCAGCCAGATCGGGGCCTCCGAGCACACGCCGATCAGACGGATTATGTGCGGGTGCTCGAACTGCTGCATTATGTCTGCCAATGATTTCGGTATGATGTGTCTTAATGCTATCGTTTAGAGCTTTTTTTTTTTTTTTTTTTTTTTTATTAATAATAAATTTTAATGCTGGATATTTATGCATGTCCATTTTTTTATAAGTTATTAGGCTGAGAAAGAGTAAAGGGACTACGAGTTAAAAATAAAAATGTTATATTAAAAAAAAACTACGTTATATTAAAAATAAAATGTTACTTTATAATGCAAACGATAAAATACTTACATGCTTCTTCGAGAAATTTTTCAGAAGTTGCAAGATCTGCGTCGACTTTGCAAGTTTTTACAGCAACCGGTATTATCTGGCCATCTCGTGCCTTGTAGGAGCCTTTGTGGACGTTTCCAAACTGTCCTTCTCCAATGATTTCTCCTAGTTCTACTTGATTCCTGACTATTTCGTAATCACGCGCTGAAAGTTGATAAAACAATCACAAATTATTTTGCGATTCAATCGTTTGATAATTTTGATTCATTCAAAAAAATAAAAAATAAAAAAAAATAATACAAAAATATGAAAACTAACTAGCTGGAGTTGAATAATCTCCCTCTTCATCGACAATCTCCGCATAATCTTCAGACAACATAGTTCCAGTCTTTCCAGCGCCATTATTTTCTAGACTTTCTGTGTTTTCGTGCTTATTTTTTGGTTGATGAGCATCTGAAAAATATAACGAATTGTAAGAAAAAGAAGTATAAATCGGTAAATATAAATGTAACAAAAATCAAACTAAAAGGACTACGAACCTTTACAAGGACAGGGATAATTTTTCCAAGAAGCAGCTTGAAGTGTAAATAATTGGTTTTAGTGGTGTTACGACGTATAAAGATTTTATTGGGAGGTATGAAGAATTAGTATGGATTTTAGATTGTTAAGTTAATTTTTTTAAATCTAAAAAGCAAGTAAATTATTGGTTATTTCCAGGACGACGCAATATACGCTTCAGTGACGTTAAACGTAATTATGACTCATAAAAAGTAATAGCTTGTTTTTTCCAAGTTTTTTCGTGCAATAAAATAATAACCTTTTCTATTCCACAAGGAAGTATTGCTGTCAGTCGCCAGTCTGCAGTAGCCGTCGATTAAATCTGCGAGACTTTCAGCCTGATCGAGACTCGAGCAAGTAATACTGAGGGTTTCGGTCGTACCCGCCACTCGGAGTTTTATGCAAGCTTTCGCGTGCTCCTTGCAATCCGACACGAGCGTCTGAATCGACTGGATTTGCGTGAATTCCGCCATCCTCGTCGGCTGGATGAATTTTGTTTTTTTTTTTAATTAAATTGTTGCCCTTACCAATATCTTTGAAAGATTGAAACCGCACTCACCACCGTCCCACCGCGATGAGCCATGTACGATATTCCGAGATCCGGGCCGATGACTAGTTCCACGGGAATAGACCAACTAGTCTGAAAAAAAATAAAACAAAATAAAAACCACGCTTCAACAACAAGAGCACCAGTGACCGGACAATCGGAAAACCAATACTCACTCCCAAAGCGCATATGAACCTCTCCTGGTCGAACCTGTAGTGCGAGCGGAGCAGTTCGAAAAATTTGTACATACACTCGAGCTCCGAGAGAGCGGCCACCTTTTTGAAATGCTGTTGTATGAGCTTTCGCAGTGCTTTTGGCTTCATGCTGTTTAATATCGAGCGAGGCAAAAATTTGTGCAGACCAACCTGTGCCACATCGAGTTGTTTTTTTATTGTTACTATCTTTTTTTTTTCATAAAAAATAAATAAACAGTAAATAAAAAAAACACCCCTCACCTCTCTCTCCAAGTATTCTAAATTGCTCTTTTTGTCGAGAGCTATTTGGGGCATGTCTTTGAAAAAATATCTAATTTCGAGGCAGCACAGTTGCACGGCTACGTCTTGATCGAGCATCGAGTGATTCGCCGTCAGATAATCGTTCCTCACCTGCAGAGTGTGTCACACGTACAAAGTTTCCTCTCGATTGTCAAACGTTGAATTGAAACACGTACAACATGATGTGTAAAACCTTACCTGATCGTAGTAATAGTAAAACGTGACTTTGTCCTTTTCGTAAAGGTCGTTTAGATTCTGGGGTAAATATCGCACCCTCAACTCGTACCTCCATTCGCTGTGCGGGTGTTTCTTTTCGTATTTTTCTTGCACCTTGGAATTATGAAATAAAGCGCCATATATGATTGACGTAATAACACGTTAAGTGTTCTTTTCTGCCGTATATATTACCTGGTGCATCGTCGTGTCCTGGTGCAACCAGTAACTCTCGCTCGAGCTCGTGTGGTGTAATCTCATGGCGTAAAGATTCCTGTAATGCCTCGTCCCCGCCGCCAGTCGGCTCGTGACCAACGATATGATACCCTTGACGTCGATGGCGTCGCCAAACTTGACCACGTTAAAACCACCTATTCATACGGTAACGCAACCATCGCTCGTTTTTACTTTATTATTACTTTTTGAAATCAGTGTTTCATCTTTAACGCAACGAAAGATTCAACAAAATAAAGTATCGAGTGCAAAAAAACACCCCTTTTCGTTGCCATGTGCCAAATTAGTCAGATTTCCAGACACCTTTATCAAAGAAAAATGAAAAAAAAAACAAAACTCGTACTGACCGTTCGGCAAATGGACCTTGAGGGTCGCTTTGTCCATTGGGGTGGGCGAGCCATGGGGCGGTGTATTCCTACCGCCCAGTACCCCACCGAGGCCGCCGCCGCTGCCATCGCTCCCAGCGCTCATTCCCTCATGGCTGTAACATCAACGCGTAAACAATGAATTAACGAGGAGCTTTTTTTTTTCTTCTTATTTTATCATCATATAAACATATCATGTTGTACATATGTACGAATAATCATCAGGTATTTGCACGAGTAAATTGAAATTTGATAATATCACGTGCCAATAAACATGAGGCTATATTTCACTTAAACCAATGTAATTTAATGTAAAAACAAAACAAAACAAAAAAACGAACAGCCCAACGGTTCTCGATAAAGTGATGGGACAGCGAACCGCCGCGTCGCAGCTGTCGGACTTGCTGTATTCCACCGGGTTTTTTCCCTCCTCCTCCTCTTCCACTCCATTACGGCGGAAAAAGTAAAACAAGTGCCAAAGTGCCCTCGAACAAAACCCACACACGTTTGCTCCGCGAAAGAAAAAAATTCATTCGAGGGAGGAAAAGAAGGAACCGTTCACTCGGCGGTAATCGTGACACTGGCGTTTTTTCTCTCGATGTACCTACATGTAAGACCAAGGACGTGGGTGTATGCATATTTATGCACGAAACTTTGCGCGTGACGTCGGGCGCGATGATCTATACTCGTGAAATATATTATCAGTACATATACTTGTATGCAATATTACAACGTACAAGACACGCGCTCGAAATCTCTTTAGACTGTATAGGTGAGAATATGTGTAAGCGTGACCGTTCGATCAAAGTCGCCTTGCCTTCCATACGTATATACATAATATATATACATGTATGTTCTTCGGTGCTTGGCTTATAAACCTCCTTCTCTCGAAGCTCGAGCACTTTGGCTGCTGAACAATGCAAAATTCACGACGACGAAGCAACATCAGGGTTAAGCAACGTTATACGGTGTAATTGTAATTGTTTCCATCACACACACGTACTCGTACAGCTGAGATTTTATTTATTTTTTTTTTTTCCAAGTATTTCTGGAATCGCAAATTGTGGGGGTCATTACACAACACGTACCGTTTGTTAATTGTGTAAATACGCGGCGAGGACGAAGACAGCGAGGATAATAGCAAAAACGCGGCTTACTGCATTTGTCTGTTACTACTTACTCGAAAAACTGGAGTAAGTATAGTAACAGACAAGTGCAGTAAGCCGCTAAAAATTGCTGTGTACGTAACTGCTGAAGATTGAAAAAAATATTCGGAGCGTTCTCAACGACACAAAATTACGTTTCTTGGCTCGAGGGGGAAACAAAAATGAAGCGATTCGGTGACTTGGGTTTATTATTTTGACCATGTGATTTGAGGATATCACGTAGACGTGATGATCCGTGCGTGAAAAAAATCAATATTTAAGCTGAAATTTTTAAAAAATATGTACAATGTTACTGTATCGGTGTCGAAAGACATTGAGGTGATGGATTACGTTCCTCATTGCACGACAAAGGTTCCGTCGATTCTTTGTGAGTAAACGGATCAACGACTCTCTTTTGTTCGTAGCGCACGTAAGTATAAAGGATTTTATTAACGTCGTTGAAGTTGATTCGAGTTCAATTACAATATGAAGTTCACCGCTGGTATATTGATTACCAAAGCGAATCAAGAGATAAATAAGGATGATAGTGGACCTAATTACATTTTATAATCACTAAAAAATTAGCATCGCCGTTTAATGTCAGTGAAATATATGTATAGCCATCAGTGGTGTCGCTCAATTAAATTTATGGATGTGAAGAAAAAATTTTGGAATTATGTTAATCAATCGATAAGGTCCGTTCGATACGAGTGTGTAATTGAGAGGGGCATAAAAAAAAAAAAAAAAGAAAAGAAAAACAGAGATCGGACGAGTTTAAATGGCCAGCAAACGATGACACATCGGGGACACATGCTTCGCTCTCGGTTATCGAACCTGTATAACACAACTGACTCATGCGACTGCATTATTTCTCTTTCGCTCTCTTGATCCTCGCTCCTCAACTTGCATCAATTAAATGTGTTTTTTCATATATTTTATCAACATGTATATGCATTCCCTCATTGGTCCAATGTACACGTGTACCTATGTGAATCACGTGTTAAATAATAATACGACTTATTTGAGAAATGACATCACTTAAAGGTATTTCTTGGATTTTTCCATGTGTATCGTACGTAGATTTTAATGAAACAGGAATGTAACTCTACAAGTTTTACAAATGCCAGTAGTAAACGTAAATGGCACCTGTACTTTTTCCCACTTGTCAAAGTGTATACGGTAGAGTACATTAAATTCCCCCAAAAAAGTAAAATTCTTGTGATTTACGCAAAAACACGTATGGGTATGTCTTTCATAATTTATATTTGCGTAAACTCTCAAGTTTGCTAACAAAATTACGTACGGAAGCTCACTTTGTGCTTAAATTTATGTAGTAAGTACACAAAACTCTATAAACCGTAAAGATAAAAATCAAACGTAAAATGTGAGGTAATTTAAACGAATAATAACTTTAATTAATGGCTACCGTAAGATACAAATAGTAAAAAAAAAAAAAAAAAATTTATACTGC